GAGTTAGTACCGTCTTACTGTTGCTGTTACATTGGTGGTTAAAGTGGATGGGTTAGTACCGTCTTATTGTTGCTGTTACATCAGTGGTTAAAGTGGATGAGTTAATACCGTCTTACTGTTGCTGTTACATAAGTGGTTAAAGTGGATGGGTTAGTACCGTCTTACTGCTACTGTTACATCGATGGTTTATTGTTTTAATAGTGAATGATGTTATACTTATGATTTAATCTCTTGTTCTAGTTATCTTCCGGTTAAATAAAATACTTTTATAATTATAAGAAAATGCTAATAATAAGATAAGTGTAACCCTAACTCACACATTTTTGAACTTTGTTTTTTATGTTAGTAGAAGAAGGGTCTATGTGTGTACGTTCAAAAGTAATTCAAGTAACTTTGGAGAAAGACAATGGCAGTTTCGGGTTTACACTACGAGGTGGAGCTTGTCCAGATAGACTTAAATCCAGACCTCTTACTGTCACCCACGTGCGACCAGGTGGTTCTACGGACAGGTTAGTAATGTGTGCTTTAAATAATCAGAATGAACCTTAGACTGGTAACTAATCTCAACAATGAAGAACCAGAAGGTTTTTCTTAACACTGTAAAGAACCAGAAGGTTCTTCTCAACACTGTAAAGAACCAGAAGGTTCTTCTCAACACTGTAAAGAACCAGAAGGTTCTTCTTAACACTGTAAAGAACCAGAAGGTCCTTCTCAACACTGTAAAGAACCAGAAGGTTCTTCTCAACACTGTAGAGAACCAGAAGGTTCTTCTCAACCCTGTAAAGAACCAGAAGGTTCTTCTTAACACTGTAAAGAACCAAAAGGTTCTTCTTAACACTGTAAAGAACCAGAAGGTTTTTCTCAACACTGTAAAGAACCAGAAGGTTCATCCACTAGGATTCTAAAAGATTTAGAAGCAAAAAGATCTCTTACACACTTTTTGAAGGTTAATTGGTTTCGGTGGATTTTTATCAAGTATTGAGATGAACACAAACGTTTTTATTAATACTGGAAAGAATTAGAACGTTTTACTAACACTGTATACTGTAATGAATAAGAAGACTCTTATTAAAACTGCTGTTCCTCAAAAGAACTAAAAAAAAAACTCTTCTTAATACTATAAATCATTTTAAAGTTTTAAAGCTACTGTTAATACTGTTTACTCTAGGGAACCAAAAGGCTTACTAAGAGGTTAATACTAAATGCTATAAGGCATTATATAGTAGGCCTAACAGTTTTATATATACTGTAAAGAACCTTACAAGTCAGTTAGTATAGTATCTATAGGTGATTGCTCTCTATTTGAAAGATTTGTACATATTAATGTAGTGTAATGTTGTCGCAGGTGTTTACTATGTCGTCATGGACAACATGTTTAGTATACATATATATAAAGCCTGGCGGAAGAGAAATACTCATACAGCAAGATTCTTAAATGGTGTAGAGTCAAATAACACAGCATTTCAAAGGAGAGAGCTATCAGTGGTTCTCAAGAGAAGCAGAAAAACTCGCAAGATGAAGCGTTTAGGAAAACAACAGGTTCAGAAACCACATTACAACCCAATGTAAAGCAAATCTCTAATCGATATGGTAACGAAAGAGAACCTTTCGACCCCCATAAAACATTGTCATGAAGACAACAAATAAGGATTTGAAGTTGATTACTGCTCACAAACCAGGCTTTTACAAGCATCTAGCCTCACAACGAAGTCAAATGCTGTTTTCTTTTCTTTTTAAATGGCGGAAGAAACTGGGATCACGGCAAATATACCCGTAACGTACCTGATCCAGTTCCAATGTTGTATTTTTTTCCGCTTCTAGTGTAAACATGATCTTGGAAACCGACTATTATGCACATTGGAAGGCCTGTATAAAGCTTGTCGAGATGTGTGTTGTAAGTAGGCCTTGCTGTCTTTTCCTAAAGCACATTACAATGGAAAGTGCACTGTCGATCAGTAGTGGTCATCATAATTATCACATTGAGTACACTGACGATGAAGAAAGTAGTTCCAAGGACAGCACGTGACCTAGAACATCGAACTTATAAAATGTGATTAACTTCAGTGAATTGTTTGTTTGTTTTTAATTAAGCACAAAACTACACAATTGGCTATCTGTGCTCTGCCCACCACGGATTCTATCGTTGTAAGTCCGCAGACATACCGCTGTGCTACTGGGGGGCTTTAGTGAATTAATTAATTAATTAATTGTGGAAATTAAGGAAGTTTGTCTTCCCTTTAAGAAATTGGTTATATGCAGTAATTCTATTGTAGGGTATATACTTTCAGTAAATACTTATGAAAACTTTAGGTTTTCTAATGAGATTGTAAGTCTCTGTATAAAAGTTTATTATTTTACAAAGTATGTTGTAGTTTATTATTAAGCACAAGGCTACACAAAGGGCTATCTGTGCTCTGCCCACCACGGG